TGGTCACATTGTGACCTAGGGGCTCAGTTTCAGTTGGCTTCTCCTGGAGCTCCTGCTTGCAGAGAGCAGTGCTCCCTGTGGAAGAAGGTCTGGGGAGTAGGAGCAGGGCCAGGCTGCTCATGAGCCCACTGAAAACACACATGGAGTCCTCATGGTGAAGTTACTCTGTGTTGGCACAACAGTTTCCATGTCTGTAGTGCCCCACTGTATCTGTGTTTTCTGGGACTCTGGTCCCAGGCTGTGCTGCTGCCCTGAGGAGGAGCCCAGGGAAATTTGTCTCCATAGGTAAAACTCAACCACGGGAATTTTCCTCTTTGAAGCTCTTTTTCCTGTTTGTTTCTTTGTGACTTCAGGATTTTTATGCTTACTTAGGACTCTTACCTGCCCAGGTAAGAGTCTCCAGGGCTGAGGTGGGTGCAGAGTAAACTGACTGTCATCAAGGAGCCTGCCTGCTGTCCTGGAGGTGCTGGGCTTCCTCCACTCCCACTGACTTCAGCCTCCAGGAATGTGCGGCAGGCCCTGCCTTTTGCTGGCAGAAGGGAACCTTCTTACCTTGGGTTCCTAGAAAAATGAAGTCCTGTGAACTCTGTATCTGTGCTCTGTATCTGTGCACCCTCATAACTTGTGAATCCAGCTCAGTGGAGTGTTAAAGTGTAAATTCAGAATTTTAAATATCCTGTGACTTTGTGAAAACAGCACAAAAGAAGGAAGCCCTGTTAGCCTCTTCATGAAGAGAGATGATGCAGTATGACATCACACACTTTAGTTCAGATCTAATTAGGTGCTCAGGACTCCCCGAGGAGATGTTAGATGTGCTCCAAGTGCATTGTAACAGACATCAGAGAATCCAACCCTGAGCTAAATCCATATGCAATTAGGCTGGCTTTAGCTGCTGTATGCACCAGGCTGCTGATTCTCATTCACAACACCAATGGCTTCATTCCTGCTGTGTCCCAGTCCCTTGGCCTGTGTGGGATGTACTGACGACAGGCTTCAGCCCTTTTCGGAACAAGGAGTTTGGATGCAGGAGGAGAGATGCTTGGGAACGCCCATGGTGGGAGTTGTTAATCCAGGGCTGGTGGTGAGCAATCAGCATCTGATTCCCAATGGATGCACGTGCTTGTAGTGAGTTTGGTGCAGGTCAGGCTGCTTCCCTCCCCAACTGGAGACATGGCTTAGAGCCTCCTGATCTGAACATTACACCCAAGCCAATTCTGCAATGTTTTCCATGATTTGGAAATGGTGGTGTTGGGCTAATGGGTGTCAGGGCTGCTTGTGCTGGTGCCACACATTGCAGTTCATGTATGTTGCTTTTTCATGCCTGTTTTCTGCTGATGAAATTAAACAAATCCAGAACTGTGCATCTCTGTAGGACCAGGGACACTGACCAGGCTGCTTTGTGTGGGAGGCTGGATTAGGTACCTCCTGAAGTTGCTTCCATGCTGGTGATCCCAAACCAAACCCTGAACATGGCACAGCCAGTACTGAGCACTGTGAGACCCACGTGGTCCACCAGGTCTGGCTGGGGCAGCTCATATTTAGAAAATTCTTCAGACTTTTAAATTTGTTCATTTAAAAGATGATGTGATGTTTAATGTCAGATGAAAGATTACAGATGTTATGAGCTGCTGGCAGAGATAAATGGGAGGCAGCTGGAAGCAGACCTTCTTCTGTCTTGGCTCACGTGGATGAGTTTGTAAGGCCCCAGTATAAAAGTTTCAGCTGAGACTGTCTTGATGCTGCTGGATAGGAAACTCCAGAGCAGTAATTTGCAGAATACTCATGTTTTTTAAGGTTTGCTTCTGGCTGCAGATGCTGGTATCCCCTGGCACAAGGAATGATGAAATCCAGGCACAGACTGCCAGGCCAGAGGGAGTGATGGCTGTGCTGCCTGCCTATGCCCTCCCAAGCCTTTCTCTTTCCGATTGCCACGTGGCATGTTGAGAAACATCCTCGGTGTCCTGGCACCTCACTTTAGGATGCTGCATGTGCTCAGAGTGATGTGAGCAGCAGGGCAGGACTGGGGCTTTTGGGCATTGCTGCAGGCGAAACCCCAATGCTTGTCCTTATCCTGCTCGCTGCCTCCCTGTGTTCCCAGGGGAAGGAGGGCTACAGTGCTTGCTCAAAGGAAGCACAGCATAACAAAACATTTTCCATCAAAACTTGCAGGTGGAAACATGCCTTCAAAGACTCAAGTCCAGCTCACTGTGGCTCTTCTTTTGGCCCTGCTTTGCTGCAATAGATCTAACCCAGCATGTTGTGCTCCTCAGGGTAAGGGCTGGCTCTTTGTTCTGCAGAGCCTCTGGCTTCCCCAATCCTTCCTGTTCCTGCTGTGGGGAACAGGGTGAGGAGAGGCCCCACGCTTGAAAGACAGATATCATTAAAATGCAGTGGAACAGAGTTTTGAAGTCAAATATAGTGCCATGATGATCTAGATCGTGAAGCTTAATGATTTCACTGCTGAATGCAAAATTATTATTGTTGCATTTTTAGTAAGACTTGTGGGAGCTGTGGGAAACAAACCCCCGCTGGCCCCTGGGAGCTGCAGGGCTACAGTGGGGGCTCCTCCAGCCCACCAGTCCTACACCCACCACTGCCAGCCTTGCTATGCTCTGTGCCTGCCCCTGGCACGCTGCACCATATGGGACTGGAGAGGGATGGGATCAGCTTTGGGGATGGCCTCGGAAAATCCCTGTTTGGGATATTTAATGTGGAAAGATTGGCTTGAGCTGTTCAGGACAGCTAAGAAATGCAGAAAGTCTGTTTGGGGATCTTTTCTTTGCAAGATTCATCTGTACAAAGACATAAATGGAGGGTGTAGCTGTGGGAGTGAGGAACAAACAGCCTGAGCCACAGCCTCTGTGTCCCAGCCCAGGGGGGGACACAGGGAGTGCGTGGCTGCAGGACAGTTGGGCAGAAGGCTGAGCTTCCCCCAACCACAGCCCTGTGCAGGAGCCACAGGCTGTTTGTGCACAGCTGAGAGTCCTGCAGAGGATGGGGTGTTCCAGAGGGACAGTTACAGGGCCAGCACCTGTAAGTAACTATATGGCCGGGAGTCACTTTGCTCGGCTTGCAGTGGTGTTCTTACTCTGTTCTCTCATTGCTGCTTTGAACTTCTTTTCCTGTCTGATTGTTCCCTTAATCAAAAGAAAATGAACTCCAATTAAGGTATCTTCACACAGTGTGATTTGTGTCAGATTATGGCTGCTGAGGACCCTTTGAAAAGCAGCAATTCCGAGGCCTGATTCACCAGGGCTTACAGGGAAAGGGGTGGATCAGGCTTCCCAAGTGAATGCAGCAAGAACATAGTGTGATTCATGCAAATCGAGGTTTTCATATAAAGTGAGATCCTCCTGTGTGAGATAGGATGGGAGCCTGGCATCAGCATTACAGTAGTGTTTTGGAGATGCCAAGGGCGTCTCCGGGGCTGTGTGTTTACCCGGGCATGCTCAGGCATGTTCTCCTGGTGCAAGACATGTCTTTTACATCTCCTTATGGTGAGGCTTCCAGCAGCCCGAGGGACCTGCAAGAGCAGAGTCTGTCATGACAGAAACTGCTTGTGGTGACTTTGGTTGGTGGAAGCTCTGCGTGGTGGATTGTTAGCAGGCAGCTTCTAAACTGTTGTTCTAGGATTTCATCAACAAACTCTTAACGAACATAATGAATTAACCTATTGAGAGTATTAAGCTTTAAAAGTGGTGGGTTTGAACTAAAAGAAGATAAAAGAAGCTCTCTGCCTACCTCCTGCTGAGGCAAAGTCCCACTCAATAATGCTGCACGTAGTGGTGGAAATTTACTGAAATCTTGGAATTGAAAAAAAAATGGTATTTTAACTCCTGTTGTGTGTACTTGATACAAGTAGGTACTGGGAGATGTTTAAAGCCCAGACAACAAGTATCCCATAGATGCATTTTGTGCCACTCATGCTCTTTATTTTACCCCTCAAAAGGACAGAGGGATGCCCCTGAGGGATGGGCACAGGAACCAAACCCCCACTGTGACAGAGGGGCAATGCCAGTGAGGTACCAGCTTCAGGGTCGTACCAGTGGGACCTCTGAGGGCAGGCTGTCCTGGGAAGCTGCCTGGGACATAGTTCACTGCCTGGGGATGGAGGTCTGGGAGTGTCGGGGAACTAAGTCCCTCAGTCAGGGGTACCCTGCAGAGCTGCTGCTGTGTGGAGCAGGGACCTGCCCAGTGCTGATGGCTCTTCCCCAGGATGGCCTAGGGTCTCATCCCCTCCTGCCCAGCACCTCTACAAACCCTGCCTTGCCTCCTGGGATAGCTGCACCTCCTGTGCTCCTTGAGCCAGGCAAGGCTCTGCAGGTGAGCAGAGGGCTCTCAGCAGGTGAATGTCTTCTAGAAATGAAAAGCAAACCCAGAATGGTCAAAAGCCACTAAAAGGCAGAAAGAATTACAAATAGGGATTGAAAGCTAAAGAGAGAGAAAATCTTAATTAGATCTCACCAGCCTGTAGAGGAACACATTGGATTAAAATGAAACGGAGCTTTGTACTCTCAGGGTTTCAGTGCAAGAATGCAAGAGGAATTATTCACATTTTCAATTTGTGAGGCTGGATTGCTTTTTCTGTGAACCTGTCTTTTTAACTTCTCACCTTGTCAGAAAATTGTGAAAAGCTGCTGGGATGGTGTATTTGGGGTAGTTCTTATCACGGCACATGGTAGAAACATTTCCATGGTTTCAGAACATGGGCAGAGTTTCCTATTTAATCCTCTCCTTCTAGGTTAACTCCTTTCATCCTGTGGTGTCCAGCCTGGCCCCTACTCACCAACCTGCCTTTGACTTCACTACCAGCGATATTTTCTCTTTGTGAATTTCTATCAATATTTAATACAGTGGTGTCGGTTATGCTGTAAGATGAGAGGAACTACTAGAAACCTTGAATTATACATCATGTGGTGGGGGAAAGCTGGGAGCATTTTCTTTTGGATCCATAGCTCTTGGAGTTGATCCTCCAGGACCTGCAGCTTGAAACCCCGATAATGGATGAGCCCCAGAAGAAACTCAGCCCCCGGCACGAAGGAAGGCCCCGCAAGGTGAGGTTCAAAATATCCTCAGCTTACAGCGGTCGAGTGTTAAAACAAGTCTATGAGGATGGGCAGGAGCTGGAGCCCCCGGCCAAGGAGCACTCGCGGCGGTTCCTGCGCCACAGCTTCGAGCCAGAGGACCATTTCTGCGGGGCTGGGGAAGCGCTGGAGAACAGGTTCTACTGGCCCACGGCACTGACTGCCCAGCGGATCAGCATCTTCAGAGAGGATCAGGAACACGATCTCACGGCGACCTCACCCCTGCTCAGTGACTGCCAGCCCGGTGCCAGCCACTGCAGGGTAAGTGATGCCCAGGGCTGTGCCCTCTTTGGGAACCAGCCTCAGGCTAAACCATGTTTAGAGTAATACAGTGCCAGGAGTCTCACACTGGAACCTCATCCAGATAAAACCCAGTTTTGTCAGTCTGGGACTTGAAAAGAATGATTGTAAATCCCCAGCCTTTATCCCAGAAATTTCGTATGCTGTGTATTCCACATGTGGCAGGATCAACAGGGTCTGCAGTGGTGCAGTCAGTGGGGAACGGTGTCTGCCAGCTGTGCTCCATATGTGCTCCATCTTCTGGTGCTGATCTGCATCTATCTATTGGGTAGAATAAGATACAACATTTCCACAAATACTGATATCTGTGCACAGGAATCTTACTGCATCTAGAGCAGTCAAATATAAGGTGGATATTAGCTTAATTAGGTATATTTAAAACATTAAAGTTGCATGACCTCAGCTTCCAGGAAAGCCAGTGTCACCACGAGGGTACCAGGAGCCTGCAAGCCAGGCATCTTCATCCTCCAGCAGTCAGAATTCCCCTTTGGCTACTTGGACAATCCCAGCTTAGTTTCACTTGCTATTTTCTTAACATGTAATTAATACCACTGATATAGAAGTGTCTCTTTAGTTGTAATAAAGAGACAGAACATGTGCAATATGTGTAAACACTTTCTATGGCCTTGATTTGAACACATTAAAAGTCTGATAATTCTTGGTACTCATAAAGCTGTGTGTGGGAAACCCAGATGACTGATATTTGACCTGTGTTTAGTTGATACACTGGACATCTAGTTTACCTGAAAACATCAAACCATGATGAATGTCTCCTGCCCAAAGGCAGAACAGTATTGTGATCTTATCCACCCTGTTAATTTGTTCTGCATTCTTGGGTAATGCTCCTCTCCCTTCCCCAGTCTCCTCAACCACAGATACCTTGAGTGACCATGCTGTCCAGTACCAGTTTGTGTTGTAACAACATGCACTTGGTGTTTGGAGATGCCATGCCCCTGTAACACACGAGACTCTTTCTGCAGCTGGTGAGGACTTGTGCTCACCTGCCTCCCCCTCATGTTTCTCCTCACAGAGAAGCAGGTGCCCCATTGTCAGGAGAGCACCATCCACCTTGTGTCAGCTGATGTGACTTGGCAGGGCATTTTTTAGGAGAACATCCCTTTTGCATCACTTCGTGACACAGATACTTAGAGCGAAATACGAAGAGTGTGTAAAACAATAGGCCCTGGTAACTCCATATGACATCCAGAGAGGGGGAAGGAGGGACCAGATCAGCAAAATGCTGCTCTCAGGGAAATGTTTGACCATGCCAAGTTTAGCTTTAAAATAGTTAGAGAAGAATACAAATTCACCCATTAGGACTGTCCCTTCACTGCTCTGCTGGGTGCTCTGTGGGTGGTGGGGGAGCTGGGTGGGTGAAGGGGATGCTCTTCTGGAAGCCCAGGGACCATCAGTGTTTGCAGAGTGAATTTATACTGGTGAGACACTGATAAGTTCCTTCTTCAGGCTTCCCCAGTTGTAGATTTTGGCAAGATCATCATCTACACTAATAACCTGAAAATCATCCGTGCACCGATGGACCAGAAAGAACTCATGAGAAGAATCATCCAGACTGAGGGAATAAATGACTGTACCTTCCTGTACCGGGAGAGGAAAGAAAGATTTGGTGGTGGACATAAAAAAGATGTGGAAAAAAAGATCACCTGCAACCAGCATGTGCAGGTAAGAGAAAATGGAAAGTGCTTTTTATCCCTGAGGCTTTTGAGTCTCTAAGTCCTGGTCAGACCACAGAATATTGCTATTCAAGCTCCATCCATCTCTGTATCTGGCTCCTAGATAACTTTGGAGTGAAAGCATCACTTTGTTCCTTGTTGCCCTCAGGAGGTAACGACCAACGCTGTGCTGCAGCCTGTGCTCTGGGGATGGCTGTGCTGGTTCCAGATGCTCATGTCTCCCACTGGATTCTCCCCCTGGAGATGGCTGACATTTATGTACCTTGGCTGGGGCTCATCCCTCGTCACCTCTCCCAGTGGGATAAGGGCAGGCTGGAGTTTCTTCAGCCTGACAAGGCTAAACACAGCTGCTCTGTGGCTGAGACTGCTGCAGGCTAAAATTTTAATATCAGCTGAAGTAAGGTTGTGCCTTTCACTTTCTTTCTCATGAGGGAGTCTTTGTTGGTCAGAATCCCAATTAGTCTGACCATAATTTGATCCCACAACACTTAATGTTGTTGTTTGGGACAGATACAGTTTCACAGACTGGAGTCCAGCCTGTGCTGAGCGCAGGTCACCAAGGTCCTTCTTCTCCCAGGAAATTCGAGGTGGGACTTGAAAGAGGCTGCCTGGCACCCCAGGAGAGAGATGCGGGCACAAGGGAAAGCTTGAAACAAGGTGTGCATGGCAGTGATAAGGGATTCAGGGGGAGAGGGTGAGAAGAAACGCCTGAAGAAATGAAGCTCAGCTCAAACCTGAGGCTGCAGAGCTGAGATGGTATGATAAGAAATGACAGGAGGACGGGTGGAGCTGTGCAGAGGAGAAAGATGAATTTGGAGTTTTGTGTTACAAGCCCGGTCACATTAACTTCTCATTTTTCATCAGTAGGCACAAATTGTCCCCAAACATATGGGAGACTTTCTGTTGAAGTCCTTGTGTAGAGAACTGACTGTCACTGGCAGAGTGGTGTGCCAGGAGCAACCGTGACGGGAAAGACCAGAAGACAGAACTTCCTTCTTTCAAGTGTATTCCTGACTATGGTGCCTCACACCCACTAACAGATCTTTTTTTCCTGCTCTCTCTCCTTCAGGAGGGCGATGCTGAATACGGTTGTTCACAGTGTAAAGGTTCAGGCTCTGCTCCCTGCTCACTGTGCCATGGAAGCAAGTTCTCAATGCTGGCAAACAGATTCAGGGAGTCCTACCGGGCTCTGCGGTGTCCGGCGTGCAACGAGAGTGGGCTGGAGCCCTGCCACATCTGTACTGCCTGACTGGGCTGCCAGGGTTCGTGGAAAACTTGGAATTACTTAACATCCCAACAGCCTCGCAATGGCAAGTTTTTAAAAGATGGGAATGGCACGTTATACATATCTCACTGTGAGTGTGAAACTGCACCTCTCCTCCCGATCGTCCCTCCAGTCTGCCCTGTGAGCCTGTCCAGCTTTGGAATCAGCCTGACCCTGGGTGGAATGTGTCCCTGACACAGGACGCAAGGCAAATGTATCCCTGGCCCAGAGCAAAAGATCAGCATTTGGTGGTCAAGCACCTGTGTAAACACCTCTGCACCTGGAACTCAGCTGAAACAGTCCCTGTGCTGGCACTGTCCCTCTCTTGGGTACTTGGTGCCTGGCACAGCCAGGTCTGACCCCTGGGTGCTCTGTCATTAGACGCTGCAGGAGTGGGTGTGCAGTTGGTACTAGTACAGGTGCACACTGCCTGTACAAGCAGTGCCTCCCCCGGGTTTTAACTTGCCGAACACTGCAAGTGACACTGTTGTTGCTGTTAACTCTGTCCGTGCCCTGCAGGGTCACAGGCATTTCCTGAGGTTTTGTTGATCTTACACCGTCTTTAGTGACACAGTGATACCTTTGGGGTCTGATTTATGGGAGGCAATCGAAAACCCTTCCCAAACCTGGAGCTATAAAAATAAAATAAACATGTATTTATTACTATGAATAGAAGTTACTAAGTTTTTAGTCTCCTTACAAGGAAGGGCTGGACTAGAAGTCCCCTGCATGCTGCTCAGCACTTCTCAGGACCAGGCTGAGAATAAGCAGGATGGCTCTTGCTTAATATTAATCCCATGTTGTAATCTGCAGGAGGTAAACTCTAATTAGTGAGGTGAAGCAAGGATGGGGATACTCTGCAGGGTGCCACTGGTGCACAAAGCATGGGGGCTGTGAGAAGCTGAGGCAAAGGGGAAATAGTATTTTTTTCCCCAAAGCAGTAACTTATTACATTGTATATTCAGGAGTAATGTCAGTGCAGCCTTAACTTCCATATTACCTCCGAGACCCTGATGAGTTAGAGGCTGCTCACACGTGCTTCATGCTGAGTCTGCAAGCCCAGGCAGGGTAATTTATGGCCAAGTTTCTATTTTCCTGTGGTAGGTTACAAGATTTCTCTGCAATACTGAACTGATTCGAAATAATGCTGTTTTAGTTCTTAGACTTCCATATATCTCCTGCTGAAATTGTGAGGTGGGTACTGAGGGTTTATTTTTCAAATTGCATCAATCTACAGCAGATATTTGATTGGCTTTATTCATCATATCAGGATTTGCAATATGAAAAAATGTTGTCCTTGGGGTCTTACTGAGGGCAGGTGAGACCTCCCAAATCAGAAATTGCTTTTAAGCAGATATCTTCAAATCAGACCTGTTTGATCTCAGTTTGTTGGGCTTGTTGGAGAGTTTGCTGGCTTAAGAGAAGAAAAAGCAACCAGGTGAAATTATAGCCTGATAACGTTTACAGTAAAACCAGATGCAAATATGCATTTATAAAATCAATATTTATTGTTCTTTGGTAATTACAATGTTTTTCAACCTCTGTCACTCCTCTGGGCTGTGTCAACTGTTCCCATCATCCCAACACGTCACTAGGGCTACGGCTGCAGCCAGGAGCTGAGCTCTGCCCTTGTTCATCCCAAGCCCTGCAGGTCCCAGTGCCCTGGGGAGCATGGACCTGTCTGTGCACTGGGATTGGGCTGGGAGTGACATGGTCCAAGCAGAGCGGGGGGATTTGCTGCCTCCACTTCCAGTGCACTCCTTTTACTTTGGTAATGCACTGACTTGATTTACCCAATAAATGTTCTTATTTCATGTGACAAAGAAGTTTGAACTTTCCTGCAGCATCGTGGTGAGGTAGCTGTTGAGGCAATGGGCTACTTGTCACATGTTACTGGTTTTATTTCTGCTGTAGTCAGAGGCTCCTGCCCATTCATCTGTGTGTCTGTCCTGGCTGGGCAGGCAGCATGGGGTGCAGGGTGTGAGCTGGGCCAAGCTACCCTTGCAGCCAGCACTGCCCTGCTCCAGCCTGGTTCTGTCCCCAGCTCAAAGAGGCACAAATCTAACCAGGGCTGTGGCCCAGTGCTTGTGGGCAGAGCCCCTTGCACTCGCTGGCAGCCTGGGCAGTGCCACGAGGACCTGTGCTGGGCAGCCTTGCTCCTGCTGCCGCTGTCCTGGGCACTGGGAGGTGAAGAACACCTGCTGTATAACCTCAAAAATTGTCAGATCCTTAAAAACTGTATTGCTTTATGGGTCAGGATAGAAGTAGATGATGTGTTGCAGTTCTGCCAAGAAATAACAAGTTTTTCCTGTTTGCTGAAAGCCTGTAAAGACATTGTTGGGCTTGCTGAAGTCACCAGGCTTCTGCACGTGATCTCGCTGGGGTCAGGTGGAGTGTCCATCTCATGAGGGAATGACAGATGAGATATAGGAATTTCTAGATGTGGTGTTGTGGTTTTGTTTAACTGACTGCCTATTTTTTCCTAATGTTTGAGGGCTCAATAATGGAAGTGAATCCCTGGAGTGGTGTCATGCCCTGTACTGAGTACCAAACTGTCCCCTCACAGTGTATGTGAACTGCATGTGAAATTCTTTTACAAAGGAAAAACCCAAATATCCTCACAGGTGCTGGAACTTTGAACAGCAAATACAGGTAAAGGTGCCTAGTCTGAATCTATTTGTCTTGTTTCTGTTAACTTTCTACAGTTTGTTGTTTTGCCTTAGAACAGGAATGTGCAAAGATGCATTTAACGGTTTCTTTAAAGGAAAAACAAAACCAAGGGCAAAAAGGCAACAGTCTCTTCTCCTGCCCTGCTGCAGAACTCCCGAGCTGTGTCTGGCAGGCTCGGGCAGCCGGATTCACCAACCGTGTAGTTGGCTGCCACACCATGGCGAAGCGACGGATGTGCTCCCAAACACGCGGGAGAAAACTCAGAGCGAACTTGGAAAGGAGAAGGCAGCTGATTTTTCTTGACTGTTTGGCAGTTCGAGGTGAGAGAAGAAGAAGGGTTAGTGCTTTTCGCTGTGGAGGATTTGAACCATAGCAGAAACGCAGATGGAGTTGTTTCCTGTGGTACAGGTCGGTGGGACTCGGGAAGGGCAGTTGGAGGTGAGCAGGGAGGCTGACAGTGACACCCGGGGGGGGGGGCACAACAGGAAGGTTAAAATAATCCTTGTTTGTACGTGGCAGCAAAGTGCATTGCATGGTTTTAACCCAGAATGTGATAGGATTGAAGAGGTAATTGCCATAGTTACTCATAAATGCCTTAGTTAAAGTTGATTTCAGGACTTCTGCTCTGGCTGTGTCTGCCGTGACTCTGCAGGTGGAACCCTGGAATGTTGTTATGCTGCAGAACAGGGTGGGAAGCTGTGACCAGATGAGCTCTCAGAGGAGACCAGAGCCAAAGCTGTCAGGGTTCTTCAAAGGCATGTTTATGCCAAGACATCTTCTGGCCCATGGAAATCACAAGTGTGGCCTCAACTGCGGCATTTTGTATCAGCTGCAACTTGTGATCCATGAGGATGGAGCACAGAGGTCCCTTGGACACTGGAAAGCACCAGTGTATTTTTTTGGGTGGCCTTTAGTTGAGTGCAGTGGTTGTTTTAAAGTGAGCCCATGAACTGGGAACCAAACATTTAGTTCAGGTGTGATGAAGTGATCTGTATTTGAAATATGCATATCTATATGTGAAAGGCTTTTGTACTTATTGATCTTTATCACAGCAACTAATCTGTGTAGTGGATTTTTAATTTACATTTATTCACAACCACCATCCTTCCAAAGCAGTAACTAAGTGGAGGAATCTGGAAAGCTTTAGCTGAATTTGCATTATCACTGCCTCATTTCCCTGTGGTTAAAAAAGAAAGAATCAGAATATTTATGAATTTAAACGTTATTATTTTTTGCAAGTCTTTGAGGCTGTCGTTTTGATTTATGTGGGCTCCATTTGATCTTGTGTGTAAACCCAGCCCTTCATTGCTTTGAAATATTTTGGTTTTACACAAATTATCCTGTGTGAGCTGCATGATTTCTCTCTGCTGTGGAACATGGTGCCACCTGAGCGGCCCGTGATTCCCTTCCAACAGCTTCTGAGAAATGCTGCTGTGGCTGGGAACTGCTGCTTCTACAAATGACTGCACACCTTCCAGTCAGCAAAGGTATGCAAAGTCTTAATCCCCTGGATTCAGAATAACGACCAATGTGATCAATTCTGCTTGTTGTTGTTTGTAGAAAACAATCGATATGTTTGCAGGAAGACAAGCCGGAGTGCAGGAATTCTTAGTGTATTTTTACTTGCTGGGTTTCTGCAAGTGGAGAATGGTCGGTTCTGGTCAGAGTGATGCAAGGGGTGACCCCGTAACTGCTGAGATCCCCATGCTGGGGTGCTGAGGGGTTTGGGGGGTGGAGGGCTGGTGCTCCCGAACCGCCGTGTGCTGGTGCTGTGCTCGCGGCTCTGCGCCTGCGAAACGGGCTTGGAAACCTTCAGGGAACGCTCGTGGCCGGCAGCGGGGTGGGAAAAACAATCCGGGGCTGCAGATGGGTTACACAGGCAAAGTCAGCTTTGGGGTTTGTTTGCGTATTCAGTGTGTTAGAGGAAGAAAGTCCTTGAAATACAAACAGTCTGGAAAGAAATTGACTCCAGGAGCTCATTGAAATTTATTACGGGAGCTCATTGAAATTGACTCCAGGAGCTCATTGGCGCTTTTAGGAGAAGTGCGCACGCTTTGCCGGGATACCTGTCCCCGTTTCCCGCGATCTGACATTCTGAGCGACGGTGTGCGGGGCTGCGGGATGCGGCTGCGGCCGGCGGGGAATGAGGCGGGCGAGGGACCAGGCTCGCCCCGGCACCGGGGCAGCGCCAGCCCCGGGGGTCCCCTCAGCCCCGGGGGTCCCCTCAGCCCCGGGGGTCCCCTCAGCCCCGGGGGTCCCCTCAGCCCCGGGTCCCTCAGTCCTTCCTCGGCGCGGACGGGGCCGGGTCCGCCCGG